GAGGAGCTTTTCTGTCACGGTCATAGACGTTTTTATCTAAACGGTTGTGTTGCTAGGATCTACAATGTTTTTATAAAAGCTTTTTTACTGATTTATGCTAAGCAAAGCTTTTAAGGCCAAAAATGTGCAGTAAATAGCCAAAATTACGTAAAAATTCTGCTCTATATGGCGCTGAATACAGTAAAATGGAGTAAAAAAATTGCTGGTTTTCAAGTGTAAAAGGGGCGCTGAAGCTTTAAATTTGAGCAGCATTATTATAAAGCTTCTTTAAAGTATCAGTTCGTTATGTTTATCATAGTCGCCAGCGCAAAAAGTGCAACGCTATCCCCCCGCTCGAGCGATCTTGGCTCACAATGACGGCAAAAAAAGCAACTGAAGAAAAGGGAGAAGCCTCTTTGAGCTGAACAGATGCTCCAAAATCCGCGTCTCCCCTCCTTTTCATGGGGGTTAGAGGGCGATGGAAAAGTCGGTGGCTGTTTGCCCCCGGCGGGTCCCCCGAAAGCCGGAGGATCACCTGGCATTGCCATCGAGAAGCATCGATTTTGGGCATTGATCGTTTATTTTTTAATATTCTTTTTGTTATTTATAGATACCTGGATATTTCTATAAATCTCTAGGAATCGGGTGGTTTTTACACCTTCAAATAGCTGATTTTTCGCTTTAAAAAACGTTCAAAAGTTTGACTGTCTGAATTACCGGTTCATCCTCATGATTTCGGCTTCCGGGTTTTTTTTTCTACGATTTCATTCACCGTTTAGCTAGCGCTCATCATGGCGGTTAGGCTAGGTCGTGATTGCACGGTAAGCGGAATTATAAAGTTCCAAAATAAAGTAACAATATTCAGGACAAAGTCATCATCAATGGCGTCGACCTTGTCAACCAGGACGAGTTGAGCAACAACCAGCTGCGCGAGTTGAACAGGTCGGTTTTAACGAGGAGTATCTATCGTTTAAACGTCGAAATCATTGGATTTTTTTCATTTTTTTTTCAGGTATATCGAAGAGAATGCGCATCTTTTGAAAATTATGGATCGACCCCCGGAGGGTAAATAGCTTTTTCAGTTTTATAAGAAAGAATACGTTTTAGAACCCCGGGATCGCTTCACAAAATCCCCAACTCCAAGCCGTTACGGCACGATCCGGAATCGTATCGGGTATCCGGTCGATGTGGAGGATGGTTATCAAACTTTGAGCCAGAAGTTTGGCGTGGGCATGACCTTCAAAAATGTAAAAAGCTATTTCAGCTCCCCAATCGCGACAAGGGAGGTCGACTACGAGCGCACAGAGACGTACCACCGGGCGCCGAAACTTGGTCAGTTCGGACGAGAATAAAAATAAACGCGGACCCGCATTAAAAATTAAATTCGGTGTTTTTAGACTTTGACATGGACCAATGGAACCGTACCTACGGCAAACAGAGCGATCTGAACTTGAGCATCGAGAATTTACATGTTGGAGCTCCGCCTGGAGGTGATTTTTAGCATTTCGCGCCTTAGTACTCCTCTATAGCTACCCTCAAATTTTTTTTACTGATAATTTAGGCTGGGAAGCCCTCTCCAGCGGACGTCCATCCCCTTACAGCACCCTGGATCGGAAGGGTTCGATCAGGAGGAGGTGGTCAAGCTCAAAAATTTGGAGCTCGAGTTTTTTAGCGTGGGTCCTTCTGGAAAGCGAGTGACCATCGACCCGAACTACCGAGCCTCATCGGTGGATCGTCCATCTGCTCGTGCGGCTCAGAGCTGCGGACAAGGTGGCGATCAAGCTCAGTCTCGCCAGGTTCACAGCGCCAACACCACGCAATCGTTGGTAGGTTCCTTAATTTCTTGGTTTTTTTGGAAGGTTTTTTCTTTTTGGAAGGTCTTGTAAGGCTCTACGATCAATACTTTTTCAGAATCGCAACGGCCAGAACAACTTCAACTCCAGCGCCACGCCGTTCGACCCAGAATCGTGTGGCCCGAGAGGGTATTACAGGTATCTGCTTCATTGTAATGCCTTTTATGATTAGCTTATCATCTGCAAAAGCTGACGAAAAGTTTTTAGGACGTGACGCGAGCGCCTACTCCAGCGTGGTCAGCGGCCTCAACGAGCCGCCGGTCACGCGCACCGCTTCCAGCTACCGTACCTCTACACAGGGCTCTGGCGCCCTGCCACCAAGGCCGACTAGCCGAACATCGACCATTGATAATCGAAGCTCTGGCGCTTGCGATCAACGTCATTCAGGAGCATATGAGCAACGCCATTCTGGAATCTATGACAGGGTCCATGGTATGTCAAATTTGAAAAGAGATGGTGCAGCATTTTTTTCGATGCCACCACACCTTTAAAAACCCGGGAATTCGCAACCGATTAGGCATTAATTTCCAGAGCCTTCCCCCGGCTACAACACGATGAGGAGCACCACCTCTCACACTTCTGGCCCTACTACCGGCTATGGTTCAGGCTACAGTACGACAAAAACCATCCACACTACTGCTCCATCGAAGGGCCCGTGAGGCGATCGATCCGGACCAAATCTTTAATCCCCGGAATGAATCGAACATCTTCACCGGGATGCACTATGAGAAAGGTATGATTCAGAGGTTTCTCCGGATTAAAGTATTTTTATGTTTTTCTAAGCCTTTAAGGCTTACGCCCTAAAAAGTTTTATATTTTTTTTTACTTTCACGCTCCTTTCAAAACCCAAATTTAGGCCCGAAAGATGTGACCACAATTTCCTCAACCGTCCACCTGACGCCGGGCGAGGATCCGCAGAAGCGCATCGACGAGATTTATCGATCAATGCAGTCGCTGCACTAATGGGCTCAAATCAAACTCGGCATTATTACCACTGATTTTGATGAATCATCCGGAAATTCTATTTCTTTTAATAGAGCAAAAAAAATCAATACTATTTGCTGTATAGAATTCAAATAAAGCGTTATAAGGATTCAGGCGTGATAAAATTATGCAGTGATAAAAGCAATCCAGGCCCACAAACGCCTGCAAAATTAACGCTTACACGCCACTACTGATGACGCAAATACGCACGTCTATTTTACAGTAGCTTTTTCTTGTTTTTTTTCTGATCATAAGCATTGCGAAGCCACGCCCAGTTGCTGCTCCTAACCAAGAAAATGCGCATAAAACGGTCTCATTATTTCCGGAACCTTTATAAAATTTTCTTAGCGATCGAGGGCAAATTGAGCTCCACCCACACCTACAAAAACACCGCCTACACGCCACTACCGATGACGCAAGTACGCACGCACGCATGTTTCTCGATCAACTTTTTTCAGGGGTGATCGACGCGGTTTGTGCCCCCGGGCCAGGGAAATGCCCGTCAGGTGGCGGTTTTCGAAGTGGGGGAGGAGACCGGCCGGGGAGTCGGACTTTTTCTTTTTCGTTTCCTTTAGACAACAAGGGCCATCAGCCCGGGGGTCCCCGAGTGTTTTCCGGCTGCTTCTGCCTCCACTTCGCATACCTTTCAGATTATTCACGTTTTGATGGGGGATAGAGATGGCGCATCAACGGATAACACGCAGCCAGGATCTTTTAAACTTAATTTTTCTGAATTTCGCTTGGAGTATTCAACATCCGTAAACTATTGCTTGGATTTATACGTCGTAATTAGTTACATGAAAGCAGTTAGAAAAATTTTTGTTCTGCTTGCGTAAGCTAACAAGGTTCTTCGCATTTTCAGGCGGGGGTGAATTTTTCCTGTAAGCCCAGAATGCCTAATAACGTAAGAGCAAGGATGTTAATAGCGTTTGATGATATTTCGCAATATTTGAAGTGGTAAAATTGTCGAAAAACTCGAGCAATTATTAAAAATTGGAAAGTATGGCCGAAAATTGATTTTTTAAGTAAAAAATTGTAAAGTTTTTGTGTTTGTGAATACTAAGGAAACAGTTCGGAATCACATGCTTTATCTGTTTTCGAAAAATTAGTCACTGTTCCCCTGGAAGCTTGTTTCCCTGGCCCTGATATTGCAAAAGTATCTCCAAAAATGCGAAAACGCTCTTGATTTTACGAATTTCCAATTGCGCGTGCTTTTGGGCGCTAAGATCTAGCATGCAGCGTTTTCACGCAGGAACGGATTGCGTTTTGCTTTATGTAGTCCTTACTGGATTGGGACATTTTTCATGTAAGCGACAGATCTCTGCTATACCCTGACTCTTGCCCAGGGCTCCAACGTGATAATCCCTTCCTGCGGTCTCAAATCTGCATCTCACAAAGTCGGCTCGACCTCCTCCTCGCCGACAGCTGCACCCCGAGCTAGCACGAGCTCCCCATAACGTCACACCACACCCCGAGGGCCCAGCCGAATTGGCGCATTGTTTAGGGTGTGATGCGAGGGTGGCGCGTAGTAGTATTGTCCCTCTCCTCGGCTTTAAAGCCAGGGATCAGGACGTGGTGGCACCTGGTTCTCGACTTGGTGTGCCTCCTCCGCCCGCCCCTTTCCCCCGAGGGGGTCACTCACTTCTCGTGCTCTTGCTCCTCCTCCTCTACACTCCACCCCTCCAACTCTGTCGGTTGGCTGGATCCACAGCTGTTCGCTGTTTACTGGCCGGTAGCTGCTGGTTGAGGCTTTGATTCTGGTCACTTCCAACGATACCGCAATCAACACTATTTTTAGCAGCTTCGATCCGTGATAAATACGGCCTGCTTTTTGTTATATTTGGTTTAATCGAAGTCTATGATTTAGAATTTAGATTAAAATGTGATTTTTATGGCTTGACAACACCATAATTTTGGATTTTGTAGGAAAGTCCACTTCTGGTAATATTTTTCCCAAAATGGTTTTTAAACTTTTTCAGTCTTTTCTCCAATATACGGCTGTTTTTAGGCTACGAAATGCCGTCCAAACGTCTTCATTAAATTTTTTCGTAAATTGGAATTTTGATCTCGACAGCTCTGACCGTATTTTTCGTTACCGTACTTTTTTGCTAGCTTCATTATATTTTTGACAAAGTATAGTAACGGTATTTCTTTCAGGTTTTTGACCTACAACACCGCGCCGCCATGTCGATGTCCCACTACGGCAGCACCGGCAACCTGTCGCTGGGCAATCGACAGGCCAGCCCGTCCTACGCGAGTCTGCAGCGAAATCAGGTAAACGATTACTTTCACAATCTATGCCTTTATACCTTTGCACGCATTAATGGGATCCTTGTTTAAATCTCGAGTTTAAAGTATACATAATTTTCGAACGTATCACGTAATTTTGTTTTAAATTTCATAAACCGTAATCTCCTACCCGTCATTTTGTAAAATTTCGACATATCAAAATATTTTTAGTTTCACGGTACTACCTTTGACCGTTGCTTTAGATGAAACTGGTTCTCGCTCACCTCCAGACACCTTGAATACCCTCGTAAAGTACACGTGACACTAGTTACCTACATACTCCTCATTGCCATTTTATGTACTACCTCCACGACCCCATCCGGTCAATCATTGACCTTTCCGTTAACGATCAATGAATGAATGCCCGCCTGGCCGGCATATTTTTTACGTGGGTGGAAAGGGGGGGAAAAGCCCCATGGGGAGACAGGGGTGAGGCCCTCCCGTGTGCTGTAAAGCCCGAGGCCGGGCCCCTTTCCAGCCGGCTCGAAGCCATTTTGTCCGGGATGGAGGCCGTGAATCGGGCGGAAAGGCCTGGGCGGAAAATGGCTGGGGTTAAAAGGGGTAGGGTGGTTGAAATTTTGAGCGAAATCCCTATTGATTAGGGCTGAGAAATTGGCGGAAAATATCTTTTAAAGGGGCTGGCAAGGCAAAGGCATGGGTTTGATCTTATGGATTCCTCATGGATTTTGTTATTATCTTATGGATTCCTCATACGTAAATCGCACGCCATCGCTTATTGGATTAGGCGCGTCCTTTTCAAGGCGATCTAGTGACGTTTGCGGTTGCCGCGGAATTGCAGGATCCATCGGGAATCTGTAGGAAATCTAGGGTCTTGAGCTCGAGGCTTCTTTAAGAGCGTGACCGCAGCTAGCAAACGGTCAAAAGTGAAGAAACATCATGAGATGTGAACCTTCTCACCAAAAGCAAATTTTTCAGGACGAATACAACCGCTTCGAGACAAAGCGTCACCACGACCGCTCATCAGAAGAACGTCGCCTGCGTGAATCCAATGAGTAGGTCGCTTGTACAGCTTAAAATCTACCTGAAGCGCATTAACGAAACCAGAGTAAAATTTGGCACTTTAGGTCGAAATTCTCCGGATACGGCAACCGACCCGGCACCGGTGTGGAGATGACGGAGCACAGATGGACCGGCGGAGAGCTGATTACAGGTTAAAAGTTGTCATGAAGTATGTGGACGTATGTTTTTAGACCCATCGCAGCTTCCAAAATCGCTGAAGCCGCGTCGTATGTTCTATTCGCCTATCGGTGACGGTGTCGTCGCTGCTGACGGTGTTGAGAAGAAGCGGTATGTCTCTGTCTGTCTCTCTCTCCCACTCATTCTCACATTGTCCCACTATCTCTCGCTCTCCCTCTTGCTATCTCTCGCTCTCTCCCTTTCTCGTCTCTCTCTCTTTATCTCCCTCGCTCTCTCCCTCTCTCGTCTCTCTCTCTTTCTTTATCTCTCTCTTTATCTCTCTCTTTCTCTCTCTATCTCTCGCTCTCACCCTCATACCTACTTTTTCAGTGGCCCAGTCGACCTCACCCCCCGCGTCACCATCACCACACTCTCAAAAATTGACCGCGGAGAGCGCGGACAAGGCGGAGTCAACGTCTATGAAAAGGAGTGGCACTCCACTCTTCCTGGTACCTTTAAAAACCTTGTTTTTAACAAAATTCAGGCGAGGGAGCCGCGGGGTCAGTGTTCGACGGCAATTTCCCGAATATTCCGGATGGAGGTAGAGGCCGAAGCGCCGACAGGCCGCAACCACCCCCAGCACCCATGCCCGCACCCGAGCCACCCAGTATGTTTTTGAGGGATGAGAACGATATCTACGTATATACCTTACGGTCCAGAATGAATACCCTGTCGTAATCTAATACCCTTCTAGCTATTCTTAACGTCGATCAATACCAAAATTTTCGCAAATGCGAGAAAATTTCCTATCGTAATCTAATCCCCCATGGGCCGATTTATGTTTTTTTTATAGAACTTCATGCCTTATTAGTCATTATGATAAACATAAGATAAGCTGGGCAAGTCAAGAAAGCGGCCAAAAAGCCCAGTACAACGTTGTTTTATTAAGGACAAAAATCGGTTTCACAGAAACCCTGGATGATAATTTCATAATTCTTCCATTTTTTTAGTGCATCCTACACCCCGGCATGTCTCCCATAGCATGTAACCCGTTTTTAGTGGACAGAGGAAACCGTGGCCCACATACAGACAACGGCAGCGGACTGCATGGACCAGCAAAACCCACCTCGGTCACGCCAAATTCCGGACTGGGAGGTCGCGGGGGACCTTCCGGACCTGGAGGCCCGGGACGCGGATCTAGACTCGGTACTGTAGATATACTAATTTCCTTTCCTATCCCATTTACGGCTTGCTATCGTAGAATTTGGAGCATGTAGGCCTTGATGAAAAACAGCGCAACTTCTATTTGGAACTTTTAGAGCCCTACCCAGCCTACCCAGCCTACGAGGAGCCAGTACGGCCGTTGAGCTGTAAGTTGTAAAGTTGTTAAGATTTAAAAGGGGAGCAAGAGAGAGAGTGTGAGAGAGAGCGTGAGATAGAGCGTGAGATAGAGTGAGAGAGCGAAAGTAAGCAAAGTTTTTTCGAGCCTAAAACTAATTTTCAGCTGCCTCCACATTCGACCCGTACCGTGTCGTCGATACCAAGACCGGATATTTGATCACAAACCCCCGGGAGCTTATTCACCAATTTGCCACCACCACTCCGATTGCTACTATGGGCGTAAGTGGCTACACCCCATCTTCAAGAGCATAGAATTCTGCCTCTAATGACCCTAGGCAAACTAAGCCTTTTTAGCTCGATGACGGCACCCCATTGACAAAGCACACCAGCGTCAAGTCGATGTACAGCACGCTGGAGACGCAGGAGACCGAGCAGAGGTTGTTAGGGAAAGACAAAATTTACCAATGCGTTCGTAGGTTCGCTCCGTACGCCCCGTACCGAGTCCAGAACGGCTCGTCAAGCCATGGTGGCAACAGCGGCGTCGTTTCCCCCAATCGTTTTGTGCGGAATTTGAGGGATGAAAGTGAGTTTTTGTAGCAAGAGAGAGGGAGGGAGAGAGAGATAGCAATAGGAGAAAAAGAGAGCGCGCGAGTGACTGAGAAATACCATAAATTTCAGCCATGACCCATTCACAACGTGAAGCCAACACCCATCTGGATGCGTTGAACCAGAGGGACCCGAACTCTAGCCATCGCGTTCAGGTAGGAGGAGATGGAGGAGAGAGAGAGCGCGAGAGAGAGCGCGCGAGGGAAAGCAGCAGAGCGATGCAAAAAATATTCGTGATTTTGGGAAATCCGCCAAAAAGCCATACACCGCGGCGGCAACGACGATATCGATCAGCTGACCAACCAGCTCGTCCATGGCCTTAACACCCGATATTAATGCTTTTTAAATTCTACAATTTCCACCGTATTTTCGATGTCTTCGAGTTCCATTTTCCACTATTCCGTTTCGATACTATCATCTTATGCTGCTTTCTCCCCTAAAAATTGCCCTTTTCCTTTTCGCCTCTTCCGGTTACTGTACAAAATTTCCGGCTGCTTTCACAGCGTCAACCTTTAAAAGTTCACTCTCTAAAAGTGTCAACTTTTATAAGCAAATCTATTTTCACGACGTATGGCAATAAATGGAATTTTTGGAATATATTACAAAAAGCACGAGTACAGGTGGGGTTCTTTACAGTTTGGACTTCTTCTTCGAGTCCATGAGGCCCTGGAGCTTTTGGAGAAGCATGATGTTGCCCTTGACCTTTAGCTTGCCGGACATGAAGGCCTGAAAAAAGTCATTTAAGTTTATCAAAAATTTAGTGACTTAAAATGGACTTAATAGCAATTTAGCCAGTACTAAAAATCTTTTGCGAAACGATGTAAGTTATATTATGACAAGAAATTTGTGTTAATTTTAACGATTTTTTTATTAAGACCGTCAATATACCTTTTGAGGGTTCAGCGTTCCGGCGGCGATTTCAGTAAAATCGTTGTCAGATACCGTGACCGTAGTCGTGGCCTTTTCTCCTCCCTTGACATCACCGTAGTAGACCGATGGGTTGGCCGACTTGAAGTCGAGGGCTGAAATTTTAATATTACGAATTTGGTCCGCTTGACGCACTGAATTTGCCGAGCTCGTCCTTGCCGTCGGTGATCGAGTAGAGGATGATAGCCTGAAAAGTAAAAAAATTCTAGAAAGAGTACGTTCCGATACTTTGACGTTCTTGACAAGGTGCGGCTCCTTCTGGACACCCTCGTTCATTTCCCTGAAGAGGGCGGAGGAGCGGATGTCAGAGGGGAAGTCGTCAGAGCCGCCACTACCGCCAGAAGTACCGTTTTCTCGTTCCTGAAGTTAGAATGGTTGTTACGTTCAACTATTCGATTAAAAATTAAAGTCTAGAATAGCTGTCGACTTTTTAGATTTTAAATTCTTAGTAAAATCCAGCTTAAAAAGCCATACCTCCTCTTCCTGGGCAGCCAGTGCGTCCATAAGATGAGCAGTTGCATCTAAAACCCAGATTTGCATAAATCTACATGTCGATATGGTCCTTAAAGCTTCCAACCTACCTTTCATGAAGGACAAGCTGTGCGCCCCTTTCATATCCGTGATCTGCTCCCAGTTCTTGGCGACATCTTCAACAGATGCATGGGGGACGACCTTGCCGTTGGAGCGGTAGTAAAGCACTAAAGATAAGGTATTAGCTAGTTTGGAACGAATCTATCATACTTCGTTGCCGGTAAGGTATAACTTACGCTGTCCATACCATCCTGCTCCGGCCTCAAAAACTCTGCCGGTTTCCGGGAACGATTCGTGAACCATGTAGAGGGTCAGGGGAGTGACGTACTCGGGTTTGAGGGCATTGACGAGGTCCTTAAATTAAGCATTTATAGATTTTTCTATTTTTTTCCGCAAAAACCTCTGCTAGCTTGCTCTAATGATCCTAAATAATTCCTCGTGATTATTTAATGCTTACCTCGGGCATGACCGTTTGTGTCAACCTAGATCCAGCTGTTGGGACCAATGTGTTGGCCTTAATGTTGTACTTCTCGCCCTCCTTCGCCAGGGCGTTGGCGAATCCGATCAGGGCGGATTTCGCTGTGAAAATGGTATAAACATTACTTTAAAAACGATACCTGAAGAATAGTTGGTTTGCCCAAAGTTGCCATAGATAGCTGCGTTGGATGAGGTGACGATGATTCGACCGTACTGAAAAAGTATTGAACTTGTTGAAGGAGCTTTTATTAAAATTTGCTTTTTGAAAATAACTATATATTTTCAGTTATATAAATACGCATTAAAAATATTGCTGAGATCGCAAAGTTAAAAATTTCATACCTTCTGATCCCTCATGTAAGGCCAGGCGGCTTTGGTCACCGAATAAGCCCCCTTCACGTGAACCTTGTAGATAAGATCTGGAAGGTATCGATAGTAACTTAATGGACAGATTCTGAATATATAAAATTGTTTTTTTTTTTGCCTCCTCAATCCCTTTAAAACGCACCCCAATCGACGTCCTGCATCTTGAGAAGCGACACATCGCGCAGGATTCCGGCATTGTTGATGACAATGTCTAAAAAGCCGTTCTTGCTTAATTTCAACGCTTTATTTCCAATTTAACATTTTCTGGAAAGGCTTGTTTACCGATTCGGCCAAAGCTATCGATGGCCGTCTTCACAATCTTATCGCCGAATTCCACCGAGTCGTAGTTGGCCACGGCTTGCCCGCCAGCGGATTTGATCTCTTGGACGACCTAAGGAATGTATTTTAGACGAAAAAAAGGCCTACAAGCTTCTGATGTGCTATAAAATATTTATGGCACGAATTTTTTGAAATTTTTGATCGTCATTTACCTTATCGGCCATCGAGGTAGAAGATGAGGTACCATGACGGTCACCACCGAGGTCGTTTACTAAAGATAGAAAATGTAGATAACAGATTGAAAACTGATGCTACTTACAATATTTAGAGTATGCTAAAATACCTACCGACAACCTTGCAGCCCCTCTTGGCCAGCTCGAGGGCATACGTTTTACCCAAACCACCGCCAGCCCCGGTGACGATGGCCACTTTGCCGTCGTAGCGGAGTTGCTGTACCATTATTGCAGATGGCTAAATTACAGTAGGACCTATTGGGCCATAAAATAGTCATAGAACTCAGAAAAAAACATTAGAGAGTTTAAGTGGTTTTTTAGTTTGCGAAAATTTAGGATTTTCTGGAGTTTTCAGAATAGTTTTTTGAGTAGTTTCGGTTCCCTGCAATGGTCCTTGAAACGTGCTGAAGTATAAGAAATAAAAACCAAATCCTGGCGCTGTTTGACAAATAGTTTATAAGGTACCGACCAAATTTAAAAGGCGCAGAGATCTCAAAATGATTTTTTTTTGCTGTGAATTGGAACTACAGGTAGCTTAATTAGGCCTGTTAAGGCATCGCGTATCCAATTCTACGGCAAAACTTAAACTGAAAAAGTTATCCTTATTTTTGCGTCGAGAACTTTGACACGAGCCAGGTGGAGCTATTCGAAAAGTGGGGGACAGAACGGGTGGTGGGCAATCAGCAGAAGTGATAAGACGGACAGACTACGGGTGGTCGAGCCAAACAAGGGGAGTGTAGTTTGCTGATCTGCTGCGGATATCGTGAGTGCGAGTGATGGCAACTATTGTAGAAAAAAAATACTAAAATTCGTAAAATGCACATTCATATAACAGTTCGGACAAAATCGACATCGAAATGACTAGTGAACAAAAATCGTAGTTGAGGAAAATCTACAAAAAGCTGCACCGGGAGTTGTCGTCAGAGTCAAGAAGCCGTCAAGACAAAAAAACACACATTTGAATTTATATCCCAAGTAATATTTTAGCTTGCAATGGGCTGGCCGGTAGTCGTTTTTCCATTTCACCGGGAGTTGTACCGCCGACTTACGGAGCCTCGCGGAGTCCCCGCCTTCTAATGTTTTGTATGTTGCTTACCGTACCTGCACTTTCAAAAATTTTTCTAACTCCCCTCGTTATGTAAGTTCTCGGAAGACTTTTTCATCGTCGGTCGTTTGCGTGATGTTTGCTCATCCCCCTTCATCGCCAAATTACATACCCCAGGGCGGTTGAGTGCAAATAGGTGCATTGCGTAGCGTTTTGTGCCGATTTTCTGTCGGGCGGGCCCGTTCTGCGCAATGTAAACTTTCGGAATTGACTTTGAAATTTGGGGAAAGGTGACTAGAATTTAGTTTAAAAAATCTTTAACTGAATTGGTTGAAGTTCAGCATGTAATTAGATAACTTTTTAGTGAGTAAGATTGCATATGTTACATACTGAATTACTGAGAAATAATAATAAAAATACTCGAATATGGAAGGCAAATCATTGACCTTATCTAACACCAATCGCTCTCGCATTTTGCCCGGAGGTCAAAACGCAGATGGTTAACAGTTCATATTTCTCTCCCTCACCTTTAATGTTTGCCCATCGATTTTCGGAAGCATACAGCCACGATTAATTAGTATTCGATTAGGTCAAAGGACCTGGTTTCCGAGCTTATTGGTTTTGACTAGAGATGTTACGAATCAAGTAATATAATGACCAAGTAAATTTGCTTGAACAACTTTATTTGCATCTGAAATTTTCAAGTAAATATAAAATTATTTTACGCCGTTTGCTTGAATAAGCATCAAGTAAAATAAAATTACTTGATTTACTTGATCTTGATTGATTTGGGAGAATTACTTGATTTTCAGCGAAATTACTTGATTTTGTGCAAATTCGCAATGCAAATCAGGCAATCGTGCTGCGAACCCAGTAAATTAGCATTCGATCATGTCATAAAGTTCATTACCATCCTCAAAATGCCAGAATTCCAGAAAGCTATTGTTTGATCAAGTAAATCAAGTAATCTTACTTGGTTCTTTCTCGAGCGGAGTCAAATAATATTATTTTACTTGGTCATGCGCTCAGCCCCATCCAAATCAAAGAATATTGTGCCATTGTATGCAAATAACCTTGATTGTTAATTGATTCTTAACATCTCTAGTTTTGACCACCTATTTTTTTTTTTGAAAGATTCTACTTTGATTGATTTTGACTACCCACTTTTTTGCTATAAACATACCAAAAAAAAACCCTAGAATCCAACGAAATCAGCAAGTAACTTATCGTAGTCTTTAGAATTAGCTAAAATCTGATCTAGTCCCCATTTACCCGCTTGTCTGCTTCGTCCATTTCATGGATAGAGTTTCCGGTTGTAATTTTGCTAATTGAAGATCAAGTGTGATTACTATGGGCCTTCCGGATACCCACCAAGATGTTAAAGACTGCCTAACGAATGTTGAACTTTTTTTTCTGCTATAATTAAGCCATCAAGGCTTGTCAATTTACGGAACACCCAACCAAAGTCATGTCAA